AGTTTGGACAAGTTGTTCTTCATGCCTGCTATACAGTTGTCATGCTGGGATTTCAATGCTCTTCAGCCTCAGCCAGCTCCACTGGCTTCCCTCTTTCTTATTTTGTTCTTTTGTTTTGTTGGGGAAACATCCTAGATTAGTTTTCTCAGAAATACAGTACATTGCTGATAAAAAGTCAGGTGCCTTTTGAAACTCTTATTCTTTTGTAGGTAGCTTATTCTTTCCACTTTGAAAGTTTTAGAACATATATAGGTATTATTCTTGTTTTATTTATCCTGTTCAGTGCTTAATGGGCCTTTGAACTAATTTCTTTTATTTCTTTGTTATTTTCCTCATTCTGTTTTCCTTTTTGCAACTCCTATTTGCTGGATGTTGTATCTACTGGATTAATCCTGTGTCTTACCTTTTCTCTCCCATTTTCAAACTAGGGCTCACAAGGAAGATCACTGTTCATTTTCTCTCTATTATTTTAATAGGTATGACACGTCTCTCTCTTTTAACCAGCAGTTGGGCTTTCTTGGGTCAGTTTTGTTTGCTCTGGACGATGCCTGCAAACCATCTTGCAAACTCCTTTTAGGTAGACCCTTAATTAATGTCCCTGATTTCAGACTCTTTGTCTCCTATCCTCCATACCTGTTGCTTACTCCATATCTTTGTCTCCTCTCTCTATTTTAATTCATTTGTTGAGCCAATACCTATTAAGTATAATGTGCCAGGCAATGTGGATGACAACATTGAGAAACCTTAGATGGCTTTATTTACCCCCTGGTTCTAGCACTGATGTCTTCCGGAGCATCAGTAGCACATTTCCTCTTCCTGCTGGACATCACCTGATGTCTCCAACTTCAACCATCGTCTTCTCTCTCAAACATACACCTCTTATATTCTCTGTTGTAGCTAACAGTGATTCCCCCCTATTCTCCCAAGCTCTAAAACCGTTGGAAAATCTCTTAATGGACCCAGAACAAGCCCTAGAAGTTCCTTTTGTGAAAACATCTCTGATATGCTTTTTTGTCTTCTATAGTCTCAAAGATATAAAGATGAAAAGAAAAAAAACATTTTTTTTTTCTAATAGAGAGTTTGGGTTACCTAAGTTTTGTGTAATCAGGGTTTAATAGTAATTCCATTGACAAAAGAGCTGAACCAGGCCAAAAAAATAAATAAATAAATATCAAGCTAAAAAAGCGACTGTAATTAGGAACATTTAAAATGACCCCTGGCAGCCAAATTAATCTTAACTGGCCAGTCTACAATTGGCTGTAAGAAACTACCAGAGTCAATGACTAGACTTTAAGAGGAGAAATATTTATCTCCTTACTACACCTAGAGGTAGTAATTTAAACTGTGGAGAGAAGCCTGCAGAAGCGCTGGTTGTCTCTTCTACTCTTTCCCCCTTCTCTCCCTTCAGTCTGCTCACTCAGATCATAATCTTCCCGGTGCAATCAGCGTTGGTTGACTGCTTTGCCTGATACACTGACAATAAGTCTTTTCCACATCATCAGACAATATCTGATCTTTCCTACTTTGCCAGTGGGCTGGCTGGCCTGGTAATAAAAACAATTATCTAATGACAATTCAGCTGTGATAATTATATTGCTGGTACTATTCCATGCACATCATTTTAATTAAAACAAACCATATAACTGAAAGGCATTTGATGCAGGACTTGAGTTTCGTGTCTAAAGCCTTTGCTAGCACACCTGTTCCATATCCATAATTGTGTAGAGTATAACTGTCAAAATCCCAAAGGATGCCATTAATCTTTAGATGGTACACATCAGAAAATAACACCACCAACTAACGTAATTAATGCCACAGAACATTTTGAAATCAAGTGTCATGTCATTTTCTTCTTAAAATACAGAAAGGATAAATAAGGAAATCTTTCAAAAGTATGGTGGAGCCCTGGTGGCACAGGCGTTAAGAGCTTGGCTGCAAACCAAAAGGTCAGCAATCTGAATACACCAGCCACTCCTTGGAAACCCTATGGGGTTCTACTCTGTCCTATAGGGTCGATATGTGTCGGAATTGGCTTGAGGGCAACCAGTTTGGTTTTTTTGGTTTTCAAAAGTATGTTAATAGTGACAATTTGGCTGAAATGAGTGTTAGTTCTCCATGGGAAAGCCAGAGCTCATTTTCATTTAGGTACTTTTCATATTTAGCTATTGTTACACTTAAAATTGTCTTTTCTCTCTGTTTTTGGTGAGGAATATGGAGCTGAACAAATAATATCAATGCATGCAAATATCAAAAACACTGGACTTTGCTAACAGAAACATTTTTTTTCTTGCCATAGTTACCACCATTTGAAATAACTTCCTCTTAAAATTCTGTACAGCTGACGGTCCACAGCTCTGAAATTGAAGGGTTACATTTATAGTGCCTCTAGGGGTCAGCATAACTTGAAGGAAGAGCCCACACAGCAAATAATAAAAAGCAAAGGATCTGTAGACTGTGACAATGGTGGAGGGAGGAGTTTGAGGCCGCTATGCCAGTTTCCACTGAAAGTGTGGATAAGAAGGAAGAGCTGGGGAGAAGTAGAATCTATGGCCAGTCCACACAGTGTTTAGGTTCATGCTTAATATAAACTCTGGGACCTAAATCATATAATATTTGGCTTAGCACATAAACTCCGTTGAAACTACTGGTAGTATTTTCACTTTCCTTCATATATGCTGAAAATCTTTTACTTTTTAATGACTATTTTGGCACTTTGGATTTATACCACTGAGATGCTAGAAGTAAAAGCACCACAAATTGGTTCTCCCAAATGGAATGGTTTTTCAATTCAAACTTCTTATTTTATGGCTAGAATTATCTGAATGGCTGGCTAGCCCTCTCTCTAAGCTGCAAAATGGTGGGCTTTAGTTTTTTAACCTGTAAGCGATCTTATACCACCTCTGCAGAAGTATGGTGATTATAAGTATACATTTTTTGGGAAACTCATTAATGACAATCACTGCCAATATGCTGCCTCTCAATCATGGCATGGTACAGGGGTGGATTAACCAGTAAGCAAGGCACAAAGGGGCTTAATTGTGTCTACTTACTGATCTGAATCACACAGTTTCACCTGGTGAAATCTGCCTGATAAAACCCATGAGAAACTGGGCACTACAGATTAGTAAGGAAGCACAATTAAGCCCGTGTGTACCCTGCTTATTGGGTAATCCATCCCTGGCATGGGCTCAATCTCAGAGACATTTGAAGGCTGAAATGTAAGGAGAGATAATTAACAGCACAGGTTGCTTTTACCTCCCTGTATAGTTCCCTATGCCTCTAGACAAATACTCTTGGGGACCACAGCTGATAAACAATTGTCTGCCTTAGCGGACAACTACTAGGCAGTGAGAATTTAACAGTGTTGGGAATCATTTATGCTACAGGAAAAAGAGCATTGTGATTTTCCCTTCCTTTAAAGGGAGAGGAAAAAACAGCACATGGGCAGTTTAGTAACAGTCTTTGGGCATTAAAAAAAAAAATCATTTCCTACTCCTTGCAAATTTTGATTTACAAAAGAATGCTAGAAGCTAAAAGCCTTGTTGATTTATCATGTGAAGCAAAGAGTAATTTTTCTCCCGTTGTTATGCTTTCATACAGTCATGCTCACTGCCTGTATGGGTGGCATTAAAGAATTTCTGAATAAAAATAATAATTTCTTGCTTTCAACCTTCATAATTCACATCAGCAAGCACCCTGCTGAGTGGTGATGCCTACTGCCAGTGAGGCTCAATCTTTTTTGCATGCCACTTATCTGCCTCGTGCAGCTGCGTATTCTGTTGATCGCAATACCTGCAGGATAATGCGCCCATAAGCATTCTTTAGTAGATTAACCACATCCGCATGAGAAAGCCCATCCAAAGGTTGCCCATTAATGCTGACAATCCGATCTCCAACCTGGAAGTACAAAAGTGGTAGAAAATCACTATCATTAGGAAAAATTAAATTTGAGAAGAATGCTTAAAATTCTTTGTAAGTCATATTCCCATTTGTGGCCATTGTGAAGATTCTGTGTTTTCTAGTGTGTATGCATGTTGGAGAAGCATGAGGAATTTTTACGGCTTTCTCCAAATACAGACCAATCAAAGAAACAAGAAGGGGGTCAGATTTGATTATTAAAAGGCACCCTAGGGCACTTTTGTATTTTGGTAATGGTGGTGTTTCAGACATCCATTTGCCAGCAATAGTGGGTGTATAAATTAACTGTTCAATAAAGCTCTAATGAGGAAGCCAAATATTTTTGGCTTTATTTTTCTACCTAAGTTAAGATTATGGGGCAATGGGGGAAAAAAAAATCATAAAGTGTTGATTATTTTGTTTAAGGCATGATCGTAAGGTCAAATCTTTGGGTTGAAAATCCATTTTGGGTGGAAGGACGTGCTAAAAAGGGTATGGGAGGTTTTGCAAATGAGCTGTAATTTCTTCCTTCATTGAGAAGCTTGATACAAACAATAATATTTTTATATGCCCGGAGACCTAATGAATTTCAGGCATGAACTTTCTGTAATGTATTTTGCCCTCAGGGTGGGTGTCTGATGGCTATTGGAATTCAGACTTTAAATAAATTCTCCAAGGCTGCACCTCCCACCCTCCCACAGGCTGTTAGCACTTCAACCATTCCCCTCTCGTTTACTTTAAGCTTCTGTGTACGTGCTGCCACTCCACTGGCCTGAATCATGGCAATAAATATAGGGATATCTCCTAAGGGACTTCCTTTTCCTCCAGCAATACTGATTCCAAGGGCATCATCGAGAGCCTAAAAAAGAAGGAAAACATGACGCTTATATATTTAATTTATTTAAAGACCCACAGCCTGATTGTCCCCAGATGGCTGTCAGACAAAATCCCTTCGGTGACACAGGAAGCCAGGGTAACATAGGAGTTAAGCGCAGGGGCTTTGGAGTCAAGAAAGACCTGTGTCTCAGCTGTAGCACTTAATTAGCAGTAGGATCTTGGGGATAGTTTCTTAACCTCTTAGAACCTCCATCTCCATGCATAAAATGGGAAGGATACCACCTACCTCACAGTACTGGTTTTTGGATTAGATGAGATGATGAAGTGCAGGCCTGACATACAGAAAAGGCTGAATAAATAGCAACAGTACAAGTAAAAAACCCCTATGCCACTGCTCAGTTTAGTGGCCAATTATGATGCAGACTTGGCAAGTATCTACTCATATGGTGTTTATGATTAAACTGCCACACATATCATGCTCTTCTGGGTGTGAACAAACACTTGGCTCTAAAAGAGCTGCACGTCTGAGTTACAAAAAAAGGATCTTAGAGGACACCCACTGTAGTGACAGCAAGTACGGAGAGAGAAGTAAAATGTGACTGAAAATATTCCCTAAGATTCTCATGTGAGGCAACTCAGTGCTCTTGGATCTTGATGAAGTGACCCTGGCTCTAGTGTAGGGTTTCCACACATTTACATCACAGAGTTAGTACAGTAAAACCTGCGAAAGCCAGAACCTGTGTGAGGTGGAAACTTGTCAGAGAAGGAAAACTCAACTGTTTTCCACTAAAACGAGTGATAGAAAAGTGGTAAGTGCACCCTGTCAAAAGTGGAAAAAGAGACCAGGAAAAACAAGGCAGTCTTTTCGAGTTGCAGCTCTCAGAGGTTTCACTGTGTTTTAAAAAATCATTAAAAGAACAAATGGCAAGTTCTGGTTTCAGCATGGTGGTAGGCATACCATGGCAAAGAACTCTTGTCAAAACACAAAAAAACCATCTATCTGAGGCCTCTGAAAAATCAAGAAACACAAACTGTGGTAAAGAGTCAAAACTTGGAGAAACGACTCAGGAGGTGAATTTCCCAGTCTTTTTTTTTTCCTGATAGCTTTGCCATGAGGGTGAGTCCCAGTCAAAGAGTTGCAAAGGTGGAGTGAATGGTTAAAATTCTGATAAAATCCCCATCTTTCTGGCCAGATGACCAGGAAAAGGAAGTGCCGGTGGCTGGAAAGTAGGGGGAAAGCCAGAGTGGAGAGAGCAGAAGAAGGGGATCCTCTACTTGTATGCATGAACCCACAAAATTTTCAGGCTCAATTCTCAGTTACGTATGTGTGGGACATACCCAAACCAATATAGTATAGGCTTAGAGGACTGAGATATGAACCACCGCCCACAAAAGATGAAACAAAACTTATAGTTTGAACCTAACTGGGTTGATTGCCTGTTAAAACAAAAACAACATTTTTCACAGTCTATACATTATAATGTTCACGAGGTCCAGGATAAAACCCTAAATTTCTCAGTCTACAAAGAGCCAGAAAAATGTGACCAATTTTACTATTAAGTTTATTTAAAAATATATAGGATTGTTGAAAGCAAAAATTATAATATTTTAGAGTAGAGTTCTCAATTTATACAGATGTAAATATATGACAAATATGACCGAAATGTCAGTGGAGTGGTTGTTGTAAAGGGACCTATGTGGTTGCAAGGCTTCTACAGTTTAAATTGATCAAACTGTACATTTTAAATATATGCAGCTTACTGTGCTTCAATTATACCTCGCTAACGCCAGGAAAAGTAAAAAAAAAAAAAAAAAAAAGACCGTAAAAACCCTAAGTGAAAGAAATTTAAAAACTTGTGGCACGTAACTGTGAGGAATTATTCTTTATTATTAATATTAGTGTTGCCATGTCATGTCCATAGACAGAATAATGGCTTATACCTGCTCTCCAAAGTACTTGGGTCTACGTATACTTTCTAAACGCATCAACAGTCAAGCCCTGCATCCAAAATGGCAAGAAGTGTTGTATTATGAATTTTCTGCTTGGGTCACATGTGAGAGAATGGAGTTGATAAGAACAGGTCTTATTATAAAAACCTTAAAAAAAAAAAAAAAAAAAACTGACTGAAAATGACCAGCAAAACATAAAATGATGTTATAGTCTAAATCTTGGAATGCAGAGAAATTTGGCTTTGTAGTATTATCATCCCCACTCTACAGACGAGAAAACTGAAGTTACGTGACTTGCCAAAGGTCCTAGAGCTAAGAAATGCTGCAGGCACCTTCAAACACAGCTATGACTGACTCCAGAGAACAAAGCTATGCTGGATATCACTTTGCTGTAGTTAAACTATGATTAAAACAAGGTCATAATTTTTTACTACTTCTTGAATCCCCAATTCATCGCCAAACTGATCAAAATAGAAGTTGTCTCTATTTTCCAATATTCTGGATATCACACAGGAGTGTGAAAATCAGGGTGTGAGGAATTAATGAATTGAAATGCATCTTAGAGTCTACTCAGCAGGGTACATTTTAGCTGTATGTATCCAAGCCTTTAATAACAAGCATGGTTTTTGACAACATAATTTAATTTCTAAGAATCAATCCTCAGGAAATAGTCCATTATATGGGCAAAAATTAAAATACAAAGATATTTCGCTATTAAATATATCAAAAATTGAAAAGTATGCTAATTGTTCAATAAGAGGAAGTTGGTTGAGAAAATTATAGCACCTTCAAATGATGGAGTACCATGCAACCAATAAAATTATGCTATATACTGTCAAAAAATACTTACTGGCTTGCCTAAGATTTCATGCTACACAGTGAAAAAGACAAGCTACAGGAGTATGTCCAACATGACACCACGCTTTGTTTTATAAAATTTAAACATACATACTTGTGCACAAAAGGTACTGAATAGGCATGTGTCAAAAAATTCACAGTGGTCATCTTTGTGCTTTAATGTATTTTTCTAAGTCTGTTTATTTTACGTAGGCCATATACTTACTTCGGTGACTTGAAAGCACACACAAACAATCCAATAAATCTCGCTAAGAAGAAAATGTGTATTTTATGCAAAGCCACAAACCAGCAAAAAAAAAAAAACCACAGCAAAATAACTGACTTACCCGGATTATTTCAACAGTCCTTGGTTCCATATCTGTGCCTATAAATAAAGAAGCAACACAGTTAACTTCTTTAAAATTAGGAGATAATATATTTAGGATATAATATTAACCCATGAGAATGGTATTATTTTCTAGGCCTTTTAAGAGAGAATACTAAAGCAAGCAGGTATTATACCTTTTCTTAATGTCTTAACCAGCAGCCATTGATCAGGGGCTATGCCCTCTATTACAAAGAGGTCCTCTCTGTTTGAAATGGATGCAGCTATAATCGTTCGGTCTGACAAAAGCTGATGGACTGCAGCAGCAGCTGCCTGGGACAAGGTGATTAAATGGCTTGGAGGGTGAGCCATTTGTATTTCACTGTACATTTTTCTGCCTGAATCAAAGACAACCCTCTACCCGATGAAAGACTTGAAAAGACCCCTCACCCTACCTCATCTCCAACCTGCTTCCAATGAGCTATAATTTATTAATTTTTTCTTTGTAAATGGTTTTACTTTATGAAGCACTTTGGATTTCTGCTCTTTTTTTTTTCATGTGCATTTGTATAAAGTTAAAGGCACATTCCAATAATGAATCTCTATAGCTTTGCTTCCTTTAGAACAGGCCTTTCAGACAGCTTGGGACTATGTGGTCAAGTACAAAGATTTAAAAATATTTCATTGAAGGTGAAAACGCTGCTTTTGAAAACAATAATATTTAAATATTAGGTAACAGGGTGATTTGTATACAAATAATACCTGGATCTTTTGGGGAAGGATTGGAAGCTCTTTTTGGGCCGACCAGGTTCTGCAGGCTGGAGACGACAGGCGTGAGGGAAAGAGGAAAGCTGCCGGGTGTGCTGTGTTGACTCCCCTGGAAAGGAAATCCAGCACAGCTGAGACAGAGTTTGCCTCAAAAAATTTACACGTATTATTATCTTCTTAATTACTGAATTATGTTAACTATTACTATGTTACAGAAAACTTCAAAGTGGCCAAAAAAGAAAAAAAAAAAAAAAAGAATCACCCAAACTCTCTTACCACCCTAACACAATCCCATTTAACATTTTCTTTAATGTATATGCTTCTACACGTGGTTTCAATCATCAAGGCAGAAAATAATCTCCAATCTCAATTTTTTTATTCCTCATGAAATAAAAAAAAATTCTCTAGGTTGCTACATAGTCTTTATATATGATCTTTTGATGGGCACAATGTGTCATTGGAGCCACTGGGCAGTTAACATGCTTGGTTGCTAACAGAAAGGCTGGAGGTTCAAGTCCACCCAGAGGCACCCTGGAAGAAAGTCCTGGTGATCTACTTCCAAAAAACCATTCATTGAAAACCCTATGGAGGACAGTTCTATTCTGACACACATGGGGTGGCCATGAGTCAGAAATGACTCAAGGGCAACTGACAGATGTATTATTTGGGGCAATGGTGAACAATTATTTCACTATTACGTACATTTCATTATATATTTTCCTAACACAACTTTTATAAAACCTTGATTAATGGTAACTCAACCAACTGGAAACTTCAGTTGTAGAAGAAAGCAGCAAACATCAAGGGGAAAAGGCCTGCTTTAGGAATATATATATTTTTTCCTAACAGATTTTCCTGGAGTCAGTAATACTTTAGTCCAATCAGCTATACCTTCATTATTTGTCCTTTTATTTACTTAAATAAATACTTGAGGCCTACAATGTACAGTTATTTTGTGGCTAGTGGCTACTGAATGAAAACTACACATAGTGAAGGTCCTTTTTAATGAAAAAACAACACTACCAATAATGAATAATATAATTTTTCTACCAAATTATCAAAGCCATGCTAATTGCATCATAAAATTATAAGCTAAGCCTAAGATCACAATTATCAGTTGACAAATTATAATGTGATCCATTTCCTTAATTCTATAATGCAAGTTGTTCAAATTTCTTAAATATAAAAAATTTCCAATTTACTGAAAAGTTGAAAGAATTATATAATAGCCATTCATATACACACCACATAGATTCTAAAATTAATATTTTGCTATACTTTCTTTTTTATTATTGTAAATATATTGTCTTTATCATATATCCACTCATCTATCTGCCATTCATTCAAATAGAATAAGGGGATAGGCATGGTTTAAAATCAGGAAAGGTGTGCATCAGGGTTGTATCCTTTCACCAAAATTATTCAATCTACACGTGCTGAGCAAATAATCCAAGAATCTGGACTATATGAAGAAGACTCATCAACAACTTGTGTTATGCAGATGACACAATAACGCTTGCGGAAAGTGAAGAGGACTCAAAGCACTTACTGATGAAGATCAAAGACTACAGCCTCCAGCATGGATTACACCTCAACAGAAAGAGATCAAAAATCCTCACAACTGGACCAATAAGCAACATCATGATAAATGGAGAAAAGATTTAAGCTGTTAAGGATTTCATTTTGTTTGCTTTGTATTTAACCTAGTGTGAAGCTTGATTAATTACTAAGATGCTCATGTATAAGTCCTCAGGAATAGAAACCAAGTTCTATCCACCACCTCACCTGTCAATCCAAGCTTTTCTTAAAATACACGAATTTCTTTTATTTCTTTGTGCCTTTGTGTATACTATTCCGTCTATCTGAGATGCCTTCTCCCTTTTCCACTTGTCAAAATCCTTTTGGAGGGAGCCTCAGTAGAATGCTTTCTGTGTAGCCCTCTCATACGCTGCCAGGAAGAATAATTCCATCTTCAGTATTGTTCGTTCTATATTCTAATTCCCTGTGTGTATCAGTGATTCAATGAAATCATTCAACAAATGTGAGTCTTCCATTAAGGAAGCAGCCTGGCTGAGACAATTTCTTTGTATCTCAAGTTTCCATTATTGATACAAGTCTGGTCAGAATCATTACCAGCCACTCCTGAAATCCCACGGCAGCACAGTGTCTTAGTATATTTATGCTATTTGACGTCAATTATGAAAGCCAGAAATGCAGAAAAAATCTAAAATTTAACATAGTGTTTATCAGGTTTGACGACTTTGAGAATTCTCTGAGACAAGCCAGCTAGTCTGTACTAGCATGGTGATTCTATCTGAACAACAGTATTTTTTCTCAACCATTTTCTAACACCAATGAGGTAAAGGAGGCAGCCAATAGCATTCCAGAAGTACCCAGGGGTTAACCATAAAATCAGAGCATCTCCTTCTGAACAAAGGCTTTGGAGAGGCTTTAATTCTAAGGTAGCCAGGGAGGGGACCAAAAGTTGTTTTTAACCTCAAAATGAAGTCCTGGTATCAGGGGACATCTAGATCAATTGGCATAAAACAGTTCATAAACAAAACGTTCTACATCCTACTTTGGTGTGTAGTGTCTAGGGTCTTAAAAGCTCGTGAGCGGCCATCTAAGATACATCTATTGGTCCCATCATATTTGGAGCAAAGGAGAATGAAGAAAACCAAAGACACAAGGAAAACATCAGACCAAAGGACTAATGCACCAAACGAACCACAGCCTCTACCCACCTGAGCCCGGAAGAATTAGATGGTGCCTGGCTACCACTGACCACTCTGACAGGGATCACAACAGAGGGTCCCAGACAGAGTGGGAGAAAAATGTAGAACAAAATTCAAATACCCAAAAAAAGACAGACTTACTGGTCTAACAGAGACTGGAAGGAACCCCTAGACACTGGCCCCCAGACACCCTGCTAACTCAGAGCTGAAGCCACTCCCAAAGTACACGTTTAGCCAAAGATTAGAGAAGACTATAAAACAAACAACACACGTGAGGAATGTGCTTCTTAGTTCAACCAAGTAGATGAGACCAAATGGGCAACAACTGCCCAAAAGCAAAGATGAAAAGGCAAGAAGGGACAGGAAAACTGGACAAATGGACATGGGGAACCTGGGGTGGAAAGGGAAAGGGGGTGAGTGCTGACACATTGCGGCGATTGCAACCTATGTCACAATACAATTTGTGTATAAATTTTTTAATGAAAAACTCATCTGTGCTGTAAACTTTCACCTAAAACAAAATTAAAAAAAAAAATTTTATGAATCACATACACACACATACACACAAAAACGAAGTCTCATCCACAACCCACAAAAGGGATTAGGGGGTGACATGCAAGTTTCTACAGTTTCATTATGTATCAAATGGGACTAAACAAATAGTTTACCGTCTTCATTTTTGTCAGCTGTTACAATGAAAAAAATGCAGTGAAATAACAGTTATTAAAAAAAAAAGTGGCACTTATGTCAGCCTTGCAAATAAACATAAGATGTTTGCTATCCCACAAAATATCACCCACCAAGACAGAACCCCACACGAGAAACCCCCACGTTCTCTGCCCTCTTAGGAATATACCATTAATTGCCCTCAGCATGTGTGAGTGGCTATTCACTAGTTAACCTTATAGCAATATTTGATTGAATGAATAGAACAATGTTGTGCTAATGAGGGTCAAATTGGCAACAGATGTTGCTTCTTTCTTTTTTTTTAAATAAACACAGCTGTGTACATGCATGCATAAGCAATATAGAACTAATAGTGGGAGAGAAAAATGGTTCTTAGAAAATATTTGCAGGACATGAAAGGGGAGAAAAATCTGGGAATTAATGAATTTCCGTCCCACCTTTCAATTTCATTTCAAACACATCAAAATACACTGAACTTGGTGTTGTGAATATGCTATATATAATATTTCCAAACAAATCGTTTACGAAATGGGGAACTGTCTCCCATTTAAGGGCAGGAGAGTCAGTCAGTCATCACCAACCTGACTATTCTGTGATGTCTTCCTCGAGGAGGGCCAGGAACCAGCGCGAAGTCTCCCAATCTCTAGCTGTACGAGCCCCTGAGCACACTTGGGAAGATAAGAACAGAAATTAAAAACAACAGCTTTTATGTTCTAAAACACAGCACAGCCTCCACTCATCTCTGCAGCCAAGAATTGTAAATGGGTAATAAGGCAACAGGGAAAAAGGAAATTCAGTAATCAAATCAAACAAAGTAACAAAAATTTAGAACAGTATTCATCTCATGACTTCTTAACTTGCTGATAGCACGGACGCAATAGGACTGGATTTCAGTTTACCTTTTTCTCTTCCTCTGCCTTCCTTGGGTGAAAGTATGCATAAGCAGCAAAGTAATTATGAAAAAGTGGTGAAAGGGAGAAGGACAGAAAAATCAAACATAGATAATATAAAAATACAAATCCTCTCGAGTAACAACTGAAAGTTGACTATCAGAATTTCAAAGTAAACAAAAGTAGTTTGTCTTAAAAAAAAAAAAAAAAGCTTCCATTGCTATCTGTGAAACACAGAATAAAATGCAGTTAATGCTCTCAGCTGCTAATCAAAAGGTTGGAGGTATGAGTCTACCAAGAGGTGTCTCAGAAGAAAGGCCTGGTGATCTACTTCAAAAATCAGCCATTGAAAACTCTAAGGACGAGTTCTACTCTGACACACATTGGGTTGTAATGGCAACTGGTTTTACAGTTGAATGGAGATTTACAAGAATGTTTATTAACCAGTTTCATCCATGGGAAGTAGGGTCCATGTAGTAGAGATACTTGGAAGTGAATTTTGAACTTTAATGAGAGATGTTGGGTGGTAGGAAATCCACTGAAGCAGAGCTATGTGATCTTGGGCATGTCATTTCACTTTTCAAATTTATCTGTGAAATAGAGAAATTGCTCTAGAAATTTTTAACATTTCTTTGAGCAGTAAACATGGGTTTGACAAATTCACAATGATATGCTTCCTGACAAAGGCCTGGAGGAAGGAGGATGAATTCTGTGACTCTAGAAGACTCCATTCATCAAATGCATTTAGAGCACAATTGTGGACTTTTGGAATTCTCACAAGTATGAAAAAAATAGCTCAGAAATCCCAAAGCAGGGTTCCCTGCAACGTTGTTAGTCAATATAACAGAGCTCTCATTCAAAGCTTTTCCTGATTGTTTAAAGCAATCAGAAATTAGATTTCTAGTAAAACCATGAGTTAGCATAAAATCCAACCAATTTTGTAATCAAGCTAGATCAGAACAGTTCCTGTTGGATCGAGTTGTGCCAGCTAGGCAGAAAGCAGTCGAGGGACTCACCTTGAGGACTGTGGCCACAGTCTCCTGTGAGGCATTTCTCATGTCCTCTCCATTCACAGATAAGATCTGATCTCCCTGAATCAATCTGCCATCAAGGTCTGCAGCTCCACCTTTCACGATGTCAGAAATAAACACTCCACTTCCATTTCTGTTAATATCATAAAACAGTGAGGTATGGCACAAGCTAATATTTATTGAAGCTGAGGTTACTGACATACTATATAGATGCCCTAAATCTGAAAACTTGGAAGGAAGGGGCCTACAAGGACATATAATCCAATAATATTCACCAACTTCCCAAATGATGAACTTGAGAGCGCTCACCCACTAAATTGTTTATGCCTATATATGCTGCCTATTGTAATACTCATTTTCATTGACCCAAGGGTATAATTTCTGCAAAATGATAATTTTAGTGAAGTAAAACAGAAATACCCTTTAAAAGGCAGAAGTGAATACTCTTAAAATGTACAGGTTATCTCCCTAGAGAAGATAAGCACAATCACTACCACTTGTCTGTCAGACTGTCATACTGTGGTGGTCGCTCATGGTGGAGAGGTTTCAGCAGAGCTTCCAGATTAAGACAGACTGGGAAGAAGGACCTGGAGATTTACTTGTGAAAAAAGTGGGCTGTGAAAACCTTATGAATAGCACTGGAATACTGTCTGATATAGTGCCAGAAGATGAGCCTCTCAGGTTGGAACGCACTCAAAATACGACTGGGGAAGAGGGCCTCCTCAAAGTAGAGTTGACCTTAATGAGGTGGATGGAGTAAATCTTTCGGGACCTTCATTTGCTGATGGGTCACAATTCAAAATGAGAAGAAACAGCTGCAAACATCCATTAGAAATTGGAACATGGAATGTAAGAAGTATGAATCTAGGAAAATTGGAAGTTGACAAAATAAAATAGAATGCTTGAAGATCAATATTCTAGGCACTAGTGAGCTGAAATGGACTAGTATTGGCCATTCTGAATCAGACAATCCTATGGTCTACTATGCTGAGAATGACAAATTGAAGAGGAACAGCATCTTATTCATTGTCAAAAAGAACATTTCAAGATCTATCCGCAGTACAACGTGGTCAGTGACAAGATAACATCTATACTCCTGCAAGGAAGATCAGTGAATACAACTGTTACTCAAATTTATGCATCAAACACTAATGCCAAAGATGAACAAATTGAAGATTTTCTCAACTTCTGAAGTCTGAAATTGATCAAACATGCAAACAAGATGTACTGATAATTATTGGTGATTGGAATGGGAAAGTTGGAAACAAAAAAGGATCAGTAGTTGTAAAACACAGCCTTGGTGGCAGAAATGATGTTGGAGATCGTGTGACAGAATTTTGCAAGACCGATGACCTATTCGTTGCAAATACCTTTTTTCAACAATATAAACAGTGGTTATACATACAGAGGGTCCTGGACAGAGTGGGAGAAAAATGTAGAACAAAATTCAAATTCCCAAAAAAAAGACAGACTTACTGGTCTGACAGAGACTGGAAGGAACCCCTAGACAGTGGCCCCCAGACACCCACCTCAAGGTGGAATCAAATTGACTACATATGTGGAAAGAAACGATGGAGAAGCTCGATATCATCAGTCAGAACAAGTCCCGAGGCCAACTGCAGAACAGATCATCAGTTGCTCATGTGCAAGTTCAAGGTGAAGCTGAGGAAAATTAAAATAAGTCCACTAGAGTCAAAGTACAGTCTTGAGTATATCCCACCTAAATTTAAAGACCCTCTCAAGAACAGATGTGATGCGCTGAATACTAATGACCGAAGACCAGACGAGTTGTGGAATGACATCAAGGACATCATACATGAAGAAAGCAAGCGGTCATTAAAAAGACAGGAAAGAAAGACCAAAATGTATGTCAGAAGAGACTCTGAAACTTGCTCTTGAACATACAGTAGCTAAAGTGAACAGAAGAAACGATGAAGTAAAAGAGCTGAACAGAGTTCAAAGGGTGGCTCGAGAAGACAAAGTATCATAATGAAATGTGCAAAGACCTAGAGTAAGAAAACCAAAAGGGAAGAACACACCCTGCATTTCTTAAGCTGAAAGAACTGAAGAAAAACTTCAAGCCCTGAGTTGCAGTATTGAAGGATTCTATGGTCATAATATTGGATGACACAGAAAACATCAAAAGAAGATGGAAGGAATACACAGTCACTGTACCAAGAAGAACTGGTCAATGTTCAACCAATTCAGGAGGTAGCATATGATCAAGAACTGACAGTACTGAAGAAGAAGTCCAAGCTGCAGTGAAGGTATTGGTGAAACACAAGGTTCCAGGAATTGATGGAATACCAATCGAGATGTTTCAACACACAAATACAATACTGGAAATGCTCACTCGTCTATGCCAAGAAATTTGGAAAACAGCTACCTGCTCAACCGACTGGAAGTGATCCATGTTTGCATCCATTCCAAAGAAAGGTAATCCAATGGAATGTGGAAATTACTGAACAATATCATTAGTATCACAGGTAAGTAAAATTTTGCTGAAGATAATTCAAAAACAGTTGCAGCAGTACATCAATGGGGAAGTGCTAAAAATTCAAGCCTGATTCAGAAGAGGATGTAGAATGAGGGATATCATTGCTGATTTCAGATGGATCTTGGCTGAGAGCAGAGAATACCAGAAAGATGTTTATCTGTGTTTTATTGACTATGCAAAGGCATTTGACTGTGTGGATCATAACAAATTATGGATAGCATTGTGAAGAATGGGAATTCCAGAACACTTAATTGTGCTCAGGCGGAACCTGTACATAGACCAACAGGCAGTCATTCAAACAGATCAAGGGGATACTGAGTGGTATAAAATCAGGAAAGGTGTGCTACAGGGTTGTATCCTTTCACCATACTTATTCAATCTGTATGCTGAGCAAATAATCTGAGAAGCTGGACTATATGAAGAAGAACGCGGCATCAGGATTAGAGGGAGACTCATTAACAACATGCAATATGTAGATGACACAACACTGCTTGTGGAAAAGCAGAGGACTTGAAGCAGTTACTGATGAAGACAGAAGACTACAGCCTTCAGTATGGATTAGACCTCAACATAAAGAAAACAAAAATCCTCACAACTCGACCAATAAGCAACATCATGATAAACTGAGAAAATATCGAAGTTATTAAGGATTTCATTTTACTTGGATCTACAATCAATGCCCATGGAAGCAGCAGTCAAACAATCAAATGACGACCACAATGACCACAGCCTCCACAAGACTGAGTCCAGCACAACTAGGTGGTGCCTGGCTACCACCACTGACTGCTCTGACAAGGATCACTATAGAGGGTCCCGGACAGAGCTGGAGAAAAATGTAGAACAAAGTTCCAGCTTACAAAAAAAGACCAGACTTACTGGTCTGACAGAGACTGGAGAAACCCCGAAACTATGCTCCCTGGCCACCCTTTTAACTTAGTACTGAAGTTACTCCTGAGGCTCACCCTTCAGGCAAAGATTACACCGGCCCATAACTAAATGGGCACATCAGCCCAGGGGCAAGGACGAGAAGGCAGGAAGGGACAGGAAAGCTAAAAGAATGTAAATGGGGAACCCAAGGTTGAGAAGGGGAGAGTGTTGACGTGTTGTGGGGTTGGCAACCAATGTCACAACACAATATGTGTATTAGTTGTTTAATGAGAAACTAATTTGCTCTCTAAACCTTCCTCTAAAGCACAGTAAAAAAAAAAAAAAAGAAAGAAAGAAAGAAATTAAATAGTGTACTGCACTGGGCGAATCAGCTGGAAAAGACCTCTTTAAAGTGTTAAAAAGCAAAGATGTCACTTTGAGGACTAAGGTGCACCTGACCTAAGCAATGGTATTTTCAATCACTTAATATGTATGTAAAAGCTGGACAATAATAAGAAAGACAAAGAAGAATTGATGCCTTTGAATTATGGTGTTAGCAAAGAATATTGAATATACCTTGGACTGCCAGAAGAATGAACAAATCTGTCTTGGAAGAAGTATAGCCTGAACACTCCTTAGAAGCAAGGATGGTGAGACCTCATCTCATGTACTTTAGACATGTTATCAGGAGGGACCAGTCCCTGGAGAAAGACATCATGCTTGATAAAGTAGAGAGTCAGAAAAAAGAGGAAGGCCCTCAGTGAGATTGATTGACACAGTGGCTGCAACAATGGGCTCAATCATAGGAACGGTTGTTGAAGATCACTCAGGACTGGGCAGTGTTTCGTTCTGTTGTATACACAGTTGCTATGAGTCGGAACCAACTTGACGACACCTAACAACACCAATAACAACTAGCAGCTGATCTATTTCTTCTCTCCTCCTTACTTCATCCTTTCCTTCCTTTATTATTTTTAGAGTTTTAATTATATTTATTTATTTGATGAATAAATCCATTTATATGGTTCAAAATTCAAGAAGTTAAAAAGGATGTACCTTGAAAAAGTTTTCATCTCACCTCTGTTCCCCAGTCCCCAAGTTCCCTTTTTATAGGCAACCAGTGTTACCCATTTCTTGGATATCTCCAAGAAACATTCTGGGTACACATAAGCAAATTCATATGTGTATAGTACATATGTGTGTGTGAATGAATGAACACGTATACACACACACTTTTTCCTCCAGTTTTGTTTTCTTTCAGTTTGCTTTTTTTTCTTAATATGCCTTGGTGATTGATCCTTATCAGTACTTGGAGCCTCCTCTTTGTTTTTTATGGCTACGTAACAGTCTATAGATGTTCTATGATTTCATTTATCAGTATCCTATTGATGGACTATAAGTTATTTCCATTCTTTAGTGACTGCAAACAATGTGCAATGAATAACATATCTGCAAGTATCCCTAGTTGTGGAATTGCTGGTCAAAACGAACTGTGAATTTTGAGAGCTTTACATCCAAACCTTTACAATGGAACTTTCCGTGCTACAGAATGTAAGCGTTCCTTACAAACTCAACCTGAAATACTGGTGCTGTATGAAGATTGTTTCATCAATCCACTAAGAGACAATAAAGCACAAAACTATCCTTCTAAATTGGAATCTCTCCTCGCATATATATGTGTCACAACAAGAAAACAAACTTCAGGATGGGCTCTGTCAGTTACTCTGTACCCAGATGTGGGCTGATTTTGTTTAGAAATGTTTAACAGTCTCCGCTTATTTGTTTTGTAACGCATTTTCAGAGTGATGGTTTTATGGCGCTAAAGTAGAACATGAGATAATGACAGCACAGTTCTTGGCACAAAACCAGTGCTCAAAAATGGCAGCTAATATTTTTATTTTAATAACAGCTTGGACTGCTGGAAAAAAATCACTAGGCTAGACATTGGAGGTCTGTGAAGGCACATGAGATAATATATACATAAGACCAATTTGAACTGCTTCCTAAGTAGATGGTGAATACAATTTTAGGCAATATTGAAGTGTCACCTGGAAATTCTGCAGCCTTGCTGGAATTAATACACACTAAAAACCAAAAAAACAGACCTGTTGCCATCGAGTCGATTCTGACTCATAGTGTCCCTACAGGACAGAGCAGAACTGCCCCATAGGGTTTCCAAGGAGTGGCTGGTGGATTTGAACTGCTGACCTTTTGGTCAGCAGCTGCAGCTCTTAACCACTACGCCACCCAATGTCTAAAAGTCAGTAAACCATGGAAGCTAGAATTACAGTTTCAGGATATTACTTACCTTTCCAATAAACTGCAAGAGAGAACCGGCTACTAGTATTCTGGAACAATTACCATAATTCACATCACATGGGTAAGCAGCATATCCTTCAACAGAGCAGCCTAGCCACTAGGATCCACCCTCATTTATAGTGCAAACTATTCATTTTTGTGGACATTTTTCTTAATAGAAAATTACTGTCAGAAAGAATTTATGTTTGTGTCTTAAGTATGCCTACTCAACTAGTTTTAACATAGTATGAAATTAAGACTCTGTGCTCAGTGGCAGAGCAAACCCAAGCTTGTATATATCTACCTCTTTTCTTAGCTGTTTCTTGGGGATGGCAACCTTAACTAAAGCCTGGCAAGCCTCAGATTTAGGTGATTCCAGGTTGAAAGAATCTTGGTGACTCTGTCCTTGTTCTATAAGGAAATAAAAATCTGAACATTCTGAGTGGATTCGGCTTGTGTTCTATCTTGATGTGACTTTTTTTTTTTGTTTTTGGTAAGACCTTGCTCAGAAATATGACCTATGTTGTTCAAATATCTGCAAATATTAGAATTTTAGAAATCATATCATTTGTTTATGTTAGGTTTTATCTTTCAGTGTTTATCAGCACTAGTCCCTAGGACTCTGAAGAAAAAGCCAATCTTGACTTGCATTTCTTTACCGTTTCCCAACGATGCTCAGGCCCAGTCCTCGGCCGACCTTCTTCTGCAGATCCACAGGAAAAATGTCCAAGTTTTCCTCATCCCTGTAGTGTGCCTCATCTCTGTACACCACCAGCTGCACCTTCTGGGGGGTCTGCCTCAGGGCTGTGATGGCCTCCTCATGGCTGGCACTCCTTAGGTCAACTCCATTAACCTGCAACAATGGCATCAGTGATGGGCTGCTGATAGCAGAGGCTCTCTGCCTGCACCATGTCTCTGCTGGAGCTCCTCGACTCAACCAGTGAAAAGCCTAGAAATTTCCAGCCATTCCCAAAACACACAGGTGGTGACCACTAGCATTACTAAACCAAACCAAACCCACTGCTGTCGAGTCGATTCTGACTCATAGTGACCCTATAGGACAGAGTAGAACTGCCCCAAAGGGTTTCCAAGGAGCAGCTGGTGGATTTGAATTGCCAACCTTTTGGTTAGCAGCTCAGCTTTTAACCACCGCGCCACCAGGGTTTCCACTAGCAGTACTAGCTATTTTAAATATAAAGGAGGTGATCCTTACACTGTCTCCACCCCCACCCCAAATAAACATAAAGGGTGGGTTAGTACAATGATAACACAATTTTACCGTGCTGTGAACATTTACTGGGGAATCCACATGAGAGAGGGAGCAGGGACTAAGTGGCTCATTTAATTGAGATCAAAAGGGCAATAAATATCAGCAGCTTTAGATTTCATTTGTTTGCTAGATTTGACATCCTCATTCTTAATTGCTAACATCACAATTACTTCATAATGTGCCCAGAAGGAAGTGAGGGACAGGTATTTCCAATACCATCAAAGATACCCTGAAGCCCCGTCATTTGAATCTGGATCCAAGCAAGCAGATAGGACTACATGTTAGATGGCATACCGCGCTGCAAACAGCACTGGCTAAAGCCAAGGCTCTGCTTTTGTGAGTCATGTGAGTTTGGGTAAGCAGTGTAACCTCTGTGGACTCTGTTTCCTTATCTGTTAAATAGATATCACAGCCAACTTACTGATTTTATACTTAAATATCTATGTAGTGCTTGTATGCTAGCCCTTTATGAAATATTTACAGTACTCATTTAATCCTTATACTAACTCTCTGAAATAGATACTGTTAATTATAACCATTTTACAGATGAGGAAATTGAGGCACGGAGAGGTTAAATGACTAAGGTTACATAGCTGGTGGAGAAGCCAAGCTTTGAATCCAGGCAATCTGGTTCCACCCTTCGTTCCTATATTATGCTGCCTCACAACTTACCCTTAGAATGGGCTATTGGACCCTACTGCCCCAAAGAAAATCACATCCTGATGTTGGTTAGTGAATTAGATACAAGGGAGAAAATGAGGAGCAGAGCACTCCAGGACTCAAGAGGAAAGGGAGTAACTTGGTAATGAAATCCTCAAGGTAAAAGCTGCGGAAAAAAGCCAAACAAAGAGAAAGACAGGCCCAGGCCACAGACAGGTGGATAACCGAGTGGGAGAGTTCCTTCAAGATGTCCTTTCTGCTCCTTGTTTTGGTCCTGCCACCTGTGCTCCGAGCATTTCGTGCTCGTCCCTGAACTGTTCCTTCATCTATACAATGAAGGACTAGTCTAAGGCTTTTTCCAATTTTAGCATTCTAAAGATGGTTACAGAGAGGGGAGAAAAGAGGAATGAAACCTTCTTGAAGAAGGTGACTTTTTTTGTTTGTTTATTGTTGTAGTTTAAATGAAGTTTACATTTCAAGTTAGTCTTATACATACATTGTTATGTGACCCTAATTGCTCTCCCCATACTGGGACAGCACACTCTTCCTTTCCACCAGATTCCCCATGTCCATTCAACCAGCTCCTAGCACTCTCTGCCTTCCCATCTTACCTCTGGACAGAAGCTGCCCGTTTAGTCTCTTGTATCTACTTGAGCTAAGAGGCACACTCCTCACAAGTAACACTTTATGTCCCACAGTCCAGTCCAATCCCTTTCTGAAGAGTTGGCCTCAGAAACTGTTTTAGTTCTGAGCTGATAGAGAATCTGGGGGCCATGCTTTTGGGGGTTCCTCCAG